TGTATAAATAAATGTTATTTTTGCAAAACATTACACTCCTGAGAATGACTCAGTAGTATACGTTGAAACATGTAGAGTGTATGAGATTGTTTTCCAGTCTCATTGGGTTTTTACCACTTTTTATCCTGTACAGGAAGTTATTGTAATTTGGAGACTGGAAACAATCTCATTTTTATAGAATTGTGTATAAAATAATAGTTTTTTTTAAATTGTGAGTTTTAACATTGAACATTACACGTGCCAAAAAAAATCTTAAGTCTTTGGTTTAGTTAAAACCAAGACTTGCATACAGTTGAAACCCTCAATTGTGAATTAAAACCAAAGTGTCAGAAAATAATTCATATACATATTTCTCTTTTATCTGGTGATAAGAAGTCATTAATTCAAAATAAAAAGTGAAAAATGTTCAAAAAATCCAATTATAAGCAACCATAGAATATAGAAATATGTGAAGTAAAATTTCAATACAGAAATCTAAGTGAAACTTAGAAGGTAAGCCAACTGTAGATGACCTATTCATTTATGTATAAATGAAAATAGTAAGTCATTTTTAGGACTATAGAAAACAATTTTGAATTAAAAATACTGCATCTTACTTTTTAGGAAATCCACAAATATGAAATAAGTAAAAATTGGTGTATTCATAGATGCAGAAATAATCTCTGATTAGAAGAGTTTTATAAATTTGACTTTATCACAAAATCTGTATTTAAAATTAGAATGTTACACTAAACAGAATAATTTGTATCACTTACTATTCATATAATTTCTCATGTTACACTAGCACTAAAACCTCTCTAAACAACAGTTGACTCTTGACATCAAAAAGAAGGATGTGGGAAAGATAGAAGAACTGCTATGCAAGACATAAGTACTTATTCATAAGACATTTTGCTACAGACATATAGTACTTAAACAATTTTTCTCATGTAAAGACTCATGCCAGCCAAGGAGCACCTTAGCCTATGATGGATGTCCAACCACGGCTGAGGAATAACATTCGACAGCAGATGAAGAGACATATAACTGGTCAACTACAAGCCGGAGGGTAAAAAAAGGCATCAAAAACATACTGAACAGTAATATGTATGTACAATCATATATGTACATCAAGCTCATACAAAAAATAAAACAAAATATATGGTATATGACATCAAGGCAAAGATATAAGTCACAGTTAAAAACAGCCACATGATGATATTAAATAGAAATAAAAAGAGTGGAATCACAAAAGGGACATGCATATAGAAGAATGCCCATTTTCACCAAAAACTGAGCCAGGATGACAGCAGTGGAAATGAAAGTGGAAGACAACAATCAGAGGCATTCATGTGTGGTGAAGTAGGTCCAAAAGGCAAGAAAATAAGCAGTCAGAAAATAACTAAAAAAATGCCATAGTAATACAAAAAAGGCATAAGTAATGAAAGCATCAATACATTCTGAGGAAGGAGGAGGAAAATAAAGTGCATCAATAAATGATGACAATTGAATGGGAACCCATGTACATCTGATCTAGCTCATGATCAGTGAAGACAACTTGCCACCTAGTCAAGTGGAAAGGAAAGGTCATTAACATATAATTTCAGACACAAATAACAATGCAGAATATAACATGGGTATATGTACAACTAAGAATGAAGCAAAGAATCGCAGTGACAAGTTTGCTAAGAATGTAGTCTTTAACAAGATGTTAAAACACAGCTAGAATCCCAGCTACCCTTAAAAAGAGAAGATAGAAAATAAAATTATACCTAAGGAAGACTGCTTATATCCAAATTTAAATAGCAGAGTAAATCGTAATTTACTCTAATTATTGAAAACAAAATTCCTTTCATTTTAAAATAACTATAACTTTTTTTTTACAAATCCATGTCAAAATTTATTAAAAACTCAGCGAATGCAATAATACACAAGACAACCTTTTCCAGTTATTTTCCTCTAGAAGTGAGAACACTTAACCAAACTGTATAAAACTTACAACAAACTAACTAAATACTTGTATTATTCAGTTTTGGTTTAAAAAAATGTCTATAATTTAATTGTTTGTATATCATTTTTTACATTATGAAATTAAAAATATTTTGTAGATACACACTGTTTCAAAAAATGAATAAAAATACTTCCTTAGATTTTAGAATTACAATTTTTTTTAATGTTGATCAGAAATTCCCATTTTATAAATACAATCAGTTTCAACTTGATTGATATTTATAGATATATTTCTTTTTATACTTTATTTTACCAACTGCAGTAGTCACCAGCTATAAATCATCAAAAAAAGTCAAAACTGACTAAGTACCAATATTCTTAGTTGAGATTAATTTATATCTAATAAATATAGCTTATTCTTTTGAATTATCTATGTTGTCTGAATATGATAAACTTAACAATAACATCAAATAAATGAGAATTTGAGTCAAATTTCAAGTCAATGGAATATTTTGCCATCATATATACTCTACTCCTAATTAGGCTTACCTGAAGTCTTGTAATAGAATAAAATTTATGTAGTTTTCAAAGAAATATAATTTAACATGAAAACATTTTGAGGAATGAAAAGAATGTCTAAGAAATAAAAAAACCTTATAAATAAAAAATTCCCAGATCTGTGATTTATTCCAAAGTCCTCTTAAACTGTTCTATTACCCATGAGCTTAGTTTTGTCACTTTTCCATGAAACCATAAATTACTTCTCACACCACTTTATTCACTATACAATGACACAAATAACTTATAAATTACTCTATCCAATGGTATTTAAACTTTTCCTGTAGATATTTTGAAAGCATTAGTAGTTATTTAATCACTTGCTATAAAGCCATAAGAGGATGCAAACCACAAAGAAAAAAAAGAGAAGGAAATTATGTGCATAAGAATACATTGATAATTATGATCTCAAAGGAATATAGTTTTTTAGCAAATATAAACCCATTTTAAAAATTCTAAAAACAGCAATAACTGAGTTGTTTCTGATAAGACTTCTTGGAGCTGCACAGAAATGTAAGTTTCAATATTTGTTTAATTTTTCTTTGCAGATTATATTTAAAAAATGTTAGGAACTGACAAAATGATAATCCTAAAATATTTTTGAGCAAAGAATTCTGGAAATAGTTTGAATTACTATTATCTTTACTGAAATTTTGAAATTCTGTAAGCAGGTGTACTCTCAACACCTAAAAGGTGCTCACATGGCTCAGAAAAGATTAAAATGAAATTGCATGGACATTAACCGATAACGTAAAACTGCACTTGTGAAATTGTAAAAAAATATATATATATATATATATATAATTTGAAGCAAGAACTAGCAAAGGATTTCACAGTGTTAAAACTTTTGATGAGGAGAAATTATTTTATTTCCTGTTTTCAATACTAATAAAACCTATGTTAAGAACTCTAGATCACATAGATAAATAAGATTTTGTAGCTCACTGTTTTATCAGCAGTTGATGAATAGCTACTGCAATAACTGAACATAGGTGTATCCCAAAATTCAAGGATACATGTAACTACCATGATGTCATGGTTGGTTCAACACTGACTGTAAATCTGAAATGCATCATTCACTTTGTTTGTATTTCCAAGATGGATGTCAGGCAAAAGAAAAGTTTTCAGAAGAATTGAAATTCATATAATGTTGGGAGATAAATGCAATAAAACAAAATCACTGTAAAAACACAACAGTGAAATAGCAACAAAGTTTTTTTTATCCAGCAACGTTTTCATCAACTGTTCTTCACCAAGTGTAATTTCATTTTTATATTAAGCCTGAGGAAGAATGATTGCTTTATATGTTGTTAGATAAACTTGTTTCTATTTAAAGGTTGCATTTTTACAGTGATTTTATTTTAAAAAAAGTTGCTGTATAAACAATTACTGTAAAATGTAATTCTCCTGTCATAAGTGTCAGGTCCCTCATAGAAGCTGTCATATCGCATTTTACAATCTCAATGCTCCTTCAGGTCACTTGAGTGTTGAGCCAATGTTGAAGTGACACCAAAAATCAACACTCACAAAAGCTGAGTTGAGGAAAATGGCATGCCAACAGTGAATTGTTGTATTTTGGAATGTGCCCCATCTATAAATAAAATGGTACAACTTTTAATAAGTCTGACAATTGAGTACTTATGAGAATTAATCACCAGAGAATTTTTCAGTGAATATATCTTATATACATTGTGAACTGTGGTGTCTGTCCAAGCATTCGTCTCTCTCCCGTTTACAAAGGCTGCTTCCTGCACTGCTTTTCAAAAGCTGTGCACACATTAAAAGCTCAACATTCACTTTTGAAATGATGGGAGAACAGGCATGAATAATATTGATGCCAAATTTTATTTTTCAAGTAGGATATTCTACACTAAATTGTAAGGAATTAATCACACTATCATTCATATTTCAAAATGCGACATAACTTAAAGAATAAAAATGTAGATTTATCATATGTTATTGTTAAGCAGCTCTTAGCATGAGTGAAATACTCAACAATTACTTTTCGCAGTGGGTAGTATAAGTAGTTCATAGGTTTGGCTCTGAGAGAAACCAACATAAGTAACCCTTTTAAAGTTCATGAAATAATTTAAATTGATAGATTAACTTAAACTTTTCCTTTTGCTTCTGTGTGTGTGTATATATACAAAAAAGGAAAAAAAGTATAAAAAATAGAATCTTCTTATTCGATCTAAAGTATTGAAAAATCAAGTATATCATTACAAACATAAATTTCAGTAAGTTATATATATAACCATTTAAAAGAAAATACAATAAACAAATTAGGTTTTCTTATTGATTTACTGTTTGGAAAAATAAAGTATATAATTACAAACTCTCATTTTGGTAAGTAAACATCTAATCGTTTACAATAAAATACTTGTACTGATTTTATAATATAATTTTTTTCATTTCAAAAAGTTTTTTTTTGGTGAAGGAATTTTACCTTAAAAAAAAAAGTCTGGTTTACTGTTAACCTTAGAATGAAGACCACAGTTTAACGAAATTAATACCTTAGCACAAAGGTTGGCAAAAGAAGCTCTCTCCTTCTCTAACTCCTCTTGTGTTTCTTTAAGTCTATTATGAATCTGACTCAGCTCCTTTTCAAGTTCTTCTATCTTGGGATCATTTACAATAGCCGCTTGTGCAGTTTGTAGCTTATCCCCATGACGTCTTCCATGATGACTTTGTAGGTAGGCAGCAGAAACAAAGACCTTTGGGCAAAACTCACACTAATAGATTGTAAGAAAAAAAACAAAAATTGTGAGGACATGAAAAAAATTTGTAACTTACAGCTATGTAAATAAAAGTACAAATCTTTTAAAATACAAATGTGAGCCATTATGCTGCTGCAGGAATTTTAACTACTTTGTCAAGAAATAGAAAAGAATTAACACTCTTATTACAAAAAATTATCATCACTTAACATAAACATTTCCTAATAAGAAATTATAAATCACAATTTATGCTAGTGTTTATTAGCTTTGTACACTACAGAAAGTTTCAGTACCCCAAAAACAACATTTATAGTTAATAAAAATAATTCTGCAAAAGTTAGTCATTTCAAAAATAAAACTGTACATCAAAAACATGTATCATGTACAAATATTATACATTTACATATGATGTGTCAATGTGTGTGTATATATTTACTTCACACATATTCTATGCAGCTGACTTGTGATTTGCTATATGCATCACAAAACAATGTCACACCTAATGAATACTCCTACTAAGTGATATTGCCTTTAACATTTAATTATTAAAAAGAGAAATGGTTAAGCTGATTAATTTTAGATTAAATTGGGCCACTAAAGCATGGAAAATGCAACATTATGCTTATCTGTAATAATATTATTTAATCAGTAACCATATTTTGTGTTTCAAGAGTTCTCACACAAAGAGTTATCTGCACACAGCCATCCTTAATTTTTGAACTCAAAGACAAAAGGGAAGCAACTCGTAAACATCATCCACTGCCAGGTCTTGGGCCACTTTTGTCTAATTGAGTTGTGGGATTTGACCAGCACTCTTATAGCACACCCACCACCCCAGTGTGGTGCATTGTTTTTCAACAGTGAGCTGCAAGCCATGATTCCTTGGATTTACGGTCCAACAATGATAAACATTTAGCCATGCCCAGCCCTGTATCAAAAATTCAAAAGAGTATAACATATAACCAAGAGTATGTCCCCATCAATATTTCATTTCAAAATCTTTTAACATGGAAAATGTTAGTAACCAGCTTTTTTTACAACAAAAAATGTTTAATGATTAGCATTTTCTTTTCCATGATATAAAAAATGGTATACAACAGTACTGTATAGTACAATTAAAATATAATTAACATTGTAAAAGTTATTTAGCCCATTAAGGAGGTATAATCATAAATATTTATTGGAAAAGTGTCAAAGCTAGTTTAAACTAAAACCAGTGTTTATAGTAAATTGTTGTTTTTGTTGTTTAGTTTTATGTAAAGCTACACAACTACTATCTGTGCATTTAAGTGTCAAAAAGAGCAAAGGGATCTAGTCAACAGTACCCATGGTGAACTCTTGAGATACTCTTATTTAACTTAACTGTGGGATATGGTAACCATTCTTACAATACACTCAGGGTTCCAAAGTGCAGTGTGCTTCTCTTTGGCAAAGGCACGAGAACAAAAAATCCTCAAATTTCACATTCTAGGCACACTAACCACCAGGCTATGCCTGGTCTTAGCAATAAATTATAAGAGAAAATGGTATATTCAAGATAAAATGAAGTGAAATATATGAAATTAAAAATCTATGTTGAATGATTGTTCTAACTTTTTACTATACATAGCTTTAGTTAAAACAAACTGACAAGAACAATAAAAAATATGTTAATCCTGTTATGTATTATGAACATTTGAGCTTTAATAAGGTTAACCACTTTACTGTTTCATTGTATCATTTTTCTCGTGTTGTAAAGGTTAGGCCTATGAAATTAACTTTATAAATATTGTAAGGGTTTTGTTGTAAAAACTGACATAGTGATACTCTTTCCACAAAAACATTTCTAAAATGTAATTATTTTGTGAATCATTTAGTTGAAAACAACTGTTCTTAAAATTAGGACTTTTGTTCCATTCTGTTGTGCATTTCCTACTCTTGATGAGCATTGATGAACTGGTCATAAACTGGGTGTATTGCTACGAAAGGTGTTCATTATCATCAGCAAGCTTGGTGATAACTTCTATTGTCCTCTTCAATTTGTTTCATAACTCTTGATGCATCTTCCCGATGAAACCAACTGAAAAACTCATGACTATTTATCAGCTTAGCTTTTGTGTGGTGGCTTGTTTAGTATTACTAAGGCTGGTTCTTTTTTGTGGGCACCAAAATAAACAGCTCTATGTTAGTTGTTCCATTCATTTACAAGTGACAATTTTGAACTAGAACTAATCTGATTAGTACTATTCTACAACACAATGTTGGGATTTATTCTATGAGCTGGGAAGTTGTATGGTAAATCCTGACACTCCAAAAGTAGTTGAGTTGCCAAGAACATTGTTGGACATCACTTTCCACCTTAAGGTTGTGATAAAATAGCTCCTAAAAAATAAATTCAATTCACAAATACAATACCAGCAAGTTATTATAATAATTACAGTATTTCAACCCATGGAATTGAGTCATCATTATCAGGTTTTTGCATATGTGTGGGCCAGATTCTTTACAGTAGATGTCAGTGACTTGTTGGAGTATCAACAATAAACAAATGTCTGTTACAATAAATTACCACAGTTGTATCCATAGCTTTAAATAATCATCTCTTTTCGTCTAAGTCCACACAGGCTGGTTCAGTTACTTTAAACCACAACTGACAAGATGAATTATTATTTTCAGCTCTGTTATTACAATACTATCAGTGATAATTTCACTTACATTACACTGTTGGTTACCACTAGTGTATCCAAAGCTTTACATAATTGTCTCTTTTCGTCAAAAGTCCACACAGGTTTGTTCAATTACTTTAGAGCACAATTGACAAGACCAATTATCCTTCTCTGTTGTTATACTCTGTTGTTACAATACAGTTTGTGATAACTTCACTTAAAAAAAAAGTGCCATTATATGCTCTTTACTGCTAAACTTACAAACACAGTCTAGATCTATTTCACTATATCTCTCACTAACTTTGTCTTACTTATTTCAACTAAATTTTGTATGCATATTTATAGCTCAACTGAGGCCTAGAACTTACTTATTTCAACTACATTTTGTACACATGTTCATAGCTCGATCAGGGCTTAGAACTTTCAACACACTACATGATATTATGATGTAATAATATTCCATCAAAACAAGGAGAGAAACTTGGAAAGTTCTAGTAACATGACACAATAATACAAGCAGCAATTCACAACAATGGAACTACACAACGTAGTTAACCTGGATGTATGAAAGTGGCTGATGGTCTGTCTGGATGATGAACACCTTTCCATAGAGGTAGTTCTGGAATTTCTGGAGGGCAAATATGATGGACAGACACTCTCTTGTTCAATCACAGAATAGTTCTTCTCACTCTTTAACAGTTTTTTACTGATAAACATTATAGGAAACAGTTTGTCTTAATGTTCGTGCAGAAGTACTGCTACAATTCCAACATCTGATGCATCAGCCTGAATGATGAATGGTCTGTTGAAGTCTGGCATTCTAAGGATTGGCGAGTTATCCTAACATGTTCGTCAACTTCTGGAATGCCATCTGCTGTGGTTGTTCCCACTTCACCTTATTGGGTTGGCCTTTCTAAGTCAGGTCCGTCAATTGTGCAGCAACTTCAGCATAGTTTGGGATGAACTTCCTATAGTATTCCACTGACCCCAGGAGGGATCTGATTTGCTGCTTGGTCATTGGAGCTAGTGCATCTTGTATGCACGTTAGTTCTCCTCTTCCATGGCTATCTGTCAGTTGCCCACCTTGTGTCCAACACAGAATAGCTGATGTAGCACTTAGATGGTCTGATGGTCAGACCTTCTGCCTCATTCGTCTGAACAGCTCTCCAAGTTTCTTCAAGTGGTCTTCCCTTCCACTTTCACCTTATAGTCCATTCTATTGAGCACTTCCTGCACTTCAAAAGGTCCTTTCCATGGCAGGGCGAGTTTGTTGTTGTCTGTGGGTAGCAGAACCAAGACCTTCTGACCGACCTTGAAATGCTGATCCTTGGCCTTCTCATCAGAGAAGTGCTTCTGACTGTCTTGAATAGCAATGAATAGCATGAACAGGATACAAAAGTATGTCCAGATCCAACTGATCATAGAGATGAGAAATGGAAGTAAGAGAAATAGATGAGAAAGAGTGGTCACCTTCCCAAGGAGAAGATGTCTTAGGAAAGAAAGACCAGTCAGGATAGAAAAGAATATAAGAGCAGTGGTAGAGAGTATGAGAAGAATTGATAGTATAAATATGTGAACAATGGCAACCACAGGCAAAAAGAAAGAAAAAATAGGTTTTGAGAGAAAGGTGGTATAAGGTGCAAGATATCAATGGCTTGAAAGGTTCACATGTGTGAGTGAAGAGAATTATACTGAGGTCTCAGTCAGGCATGGGAGTGGGGCAAGAAGACGAAGGCCTATGGAGAAGGAAGGAACAGAACCAGATGGGGAGAATATGGGAAGAAAATACCCTGCAGTATTGAGGAGGGTGAAATGTTGTGGACAAAGCCACCTGATATAACTGGCAATGGTGGATACAGATAATCTATGGTCAAATAGCCAGGTAAAGAAAGTAAAGAGATGGACAACAGTAGGAGAGTCAGGAGGAAATGATGTTGATGTCTTTGTATGTATCATCTCCACCCAGCAGTCTTAAGTCTGATAGGACCTCATCTTCTCTAACAAAGTCACCATCTTCAGGTTCTGCATCTATGACAGCTACACCTGAAGTGTCCATCTGTGCCTCAATAGCTGCACCATTATGTCTTCTTCCCTCTCAAAGTACCTCTTCAACAGATTTGGTGTGGTAGATCTTGGTCTTTCCTTCCACTTTCACCTTATAGTCCATTCTATTGAGCACTTCCTGCACTTCAAAAGGTCCTTTCCATGGCAGGGTGAGTTTGTTGTTGTCTGTGAGTAGCAGAATCAAGACCTTCTGACCCACCTTGAAATGTCAATCCTTGGCCTTCTTATCAGAGAAGTGCTTCTGACTGCCTTGAGCTGCATACAAACTTTCTCAAGTGATTTGACAGGTCAGTTTCTGAAGTCTAACATGTACTGGTATGTGTTGCTCACTTCTTACTCTTCTTCTCCTGTCCACAGTTCTTTCAATATCTGCATCTGACCTTGTACTGTCAAATCAAATGGGTGAATATCCTCTACTCGCTTGTGGAACTTCTCGGTAAGCAGGTACCTGTCCCAGCCTCATGGTCTCTCCTGACACATCTTGTTCAGCATGCTCTTTAAGACTCCATTTACTCTCTCACAAAGTCCATTAAATTTGGGATCGTATGGAGTGGCAAAGAGCTGCCTAATGCTGATGAGCTTGCACATCTCTTGCATCAGTTAAGAGGTAAACTGTGTCCCTCTGTCTCTCAATACTTCTTTTAGAAAGCCTACTCTGTAGAACACTTCCAGGAGAGCTTCTGCTACCCTCTCCATCTCTATCTTCAACAATGCTATGGCTTCTGAGAAACGTGTTGCACAGTCAACTACTATCAGCATGTACTGGTCACCCTTGTCAGATATAAGTGCTAGTGGTCCAATCAAGTCCACAGTAACTCTACTGAACAGTGCTTCTATGAGAGGTATCTCACCCAGTGGCACCTTGGCTACCTTCCCTGGCCAATGGAAGTTGCTGGTGATTATGTTTACCATTTTCTTTGCTCCTAGGTGTCCTCCCACAATTGACTCACGAGCCAACTTCATCACTTCAGTCCAGTATTCTGTAGATTCTATTATCTGTTTATGTTCCCCAGTAGAAATGCCTTGATAAATCCAGTACAACACTCCCTTCTGGTCCTCTATTCTTCCCCTTTGTCTTGTGCTCTTCTTTCTCCCAGACACTGTCTCAGGGTTTCTGTAGTGAAGGATTTTTCTTCTGTGCTTCCTTCAGTTCCCATAGACCTAAATTCAGGATGTCACTTTTCAAGACTTGCAGTCTTGCTTGCTTTTCTTTTCCTAAGCTCTTGTGGTGACAGAGATGCCTTATCAGCCTTCTTTCTGTCTGTTTCCTCCAAACTTCTACTGCCTAGTATATTGTCAATCACAAAGTCATAGATGGGTGCCTTAATACACATGGCCTCAAGGTCTCTCATTCAGTATGAAGTGTCAAATTTCTCACTGTCCCATCAATCAGAAAACACAGATGTACCTTGCCTGTCATCTGGTTATCAAATATTAGACTGGTTCTCACTGCTGCACCAAGTGTCTTGTAGGACTATAATTTTCTTGTCCCGACACAGACTTCACTATTGGCATGTTGTGGTTTGTTGGCACGTCTCAATGTTTGTCACATGCTCTGATTACCACAGGCACTGTTGACCTGTTTGCCAACTAGAGCTGATCATCAATCATGCACTGTTTAATCATAGTGATAGCACTTCCTTCTTGCAGTGAATATGATGGGTTTTATTTAATCTGTTTATTCTGGCAGCAGCATCCATGGTGATAGTCACTCCTTTCTTGCCAGCACCATCTTTGTATGTAGCTCCAGCTACTTTATGTTGATATTTCTGCTGTTGCTTGTTGATGACAGACTTGCACTCACTCGCAATGTGCCCCAGTTTATAACATGAATAGCATGTCTGTTAAATTCTTGTCACCTATGGTAGCATCCTGCTTCTGATCAGCTACCCCTGATTTCAAATTTGACTGGTTATTCTTGAATTTGCCAGTTATACTCCCTCCACGGGCTTCGATATACTGTTTTGCCAGCTTGATCATCTCATCCACATCTTTCGGTGCTCTCCCCTTTAAGAACAGTGACATTTCAGTGGAGCACGTGATCATGAACTGTTCACATATTAGTAGATCTGCCAGTCCTTCAAAACTATCTTCACACTTTGCCATGTCAGTCCACCTTGTGAAGTACCATCACAGGTGTGCCACAAACTGAAACACAATTTCTTCAGTGTCACGTTGGACTTCCCTGAACTTCCAGCAAAAATATTCCTCAGTGAGTTCATAGCACTTGAGCAAGGCCACTTTTAACTTGTCATAGTCCATGGCATCTTCTGATTTCATTCCAGCACTTGTAGGCTTTTCTTGTGAGAAGGGGGCTGAGACAGACTGCCCAATTGCTTTTGTCCTAGTTCTGACATTAAATAAATCTTTCATACTTCTCCAGGAAAGCATCCATGTAAACTTTCTGTTCATCAAACTTGGGTAGCTTGGATCAGCTGACCCTGACCCCATTGTCATTCTTGGGTCCTTTGTCTTGCTGTTGATTGAGATTAGCAATCTCAATTTGTGCTCTTATTCTCTCTATTTCCAGTCTCTCCTCTTTCTCCTGATGATAATGTGGTAAACATTGAAACATGTAGTATCCACATTTCAGAAATGGTTATAATTGTGTACTGATTTTAATGTTTTGTGTTGTCTATTTATTATTTTAAAATATTCAATACAACAAAAACTTTATACTGCAAAGTATTCAATACGTGTCATAATTTGTGATGTAAGGCTGGCTATTTTGATCCACCAACTTCTGCCAAAACAAACAGCATCATTAGAACATTTGAATGATATAAAAACTTTTTAACTGGATAAGTTGCAAGCAAAACAAAAACCAACTCGAATTTTTAGTTTCTCAAAAGTATTGCAGTAGGTTTTGTTTTGGAATTTCACACAAAGCTACACAATGGAATCCTGTGCTAGTCTTCCTTGATTTTGAACTGATAGTCTAGAGGGAAGACAGATAGTCAAAAGTACCCAAAATTAACTCTTGAGCTACTCAAATCAAATATTGGGTTTTGACTGTCCTTCTTATAATGTACTGTAGCCCCAAACTGTAGACCAAGTATTTAGAGCAACAGGATGTGAACCATGGACCCTCAGGTCAATAGATCAGCATGCTAACCATTAGGCTGGGCACATACTGCAGTAGATTTCCTAATCTTAATTCTATTATTTTTCAGTATTTAAGGTTATTTTCAAGACTATCAAGTTTACTATGTAAACTTAAACTGTTTGGCTTATAAGGTTGTTTTCAGGGAAATAAAGTTATCACTCAGAATTTCTCAAAATATTCAAGAATCTCATCCTCATTCTCAAATTGCAGTAAAAAAAAAAAAAAACCCTTGTCTCACAATACTTTAACTTCTTCATGTTCTGTTTTTTTCCACAGTACTATAATCATCGTTCTCTGTGCCTATAACATCACTCTCCATCTCTACCTCACTGTCTTTCCATATCTGTATGGATTCATTCTTCTTCACTCTCTTCATTTTCATCAAAAACAGCATTAATTTCACCTTTATTTAGAAAAAAAACTTTTCTAGTAAATGCCAAAATAGCCCTCATGTTGATATGAAGGGTGAATAGCATATGTACCAGGAAATTCAAGAGGAGCAGTTGACAGTGTACTTTGAATACATCATGGGTTGTTTGACAAGTTATTGTGGCATTCGCAAATCATATTCAGCAACAAAAGTGTTGCAAGATTTATATGTGTCACATGCACCATGCCAATAACTGATATGTGACAGTTATATCTGGCATACCTAGATAAGTGGCTAAACTACAATTGTTCTTAAATGTTTTGTTGCACATCCTTTCAGCTTCTCCCAACTGATTTTGCAATGTCAAGTAGTAGAAGAACTTTCTAAATATTCAAATCTGCCATCGAAATATTGATTATTTCACAAAATGACAACTTCCCAACCTGTTTAAAGTGCAATTTTAGCTAGTTACATTATTTTCTCACAGGCAAAATATTATGACATTCATCAACACTTTTCCGGTCACTATTTGTAAATTTGTATGTTCATGACAGTGATAAATACACAAGATTAGAAGTGTTTAGTAAATACCTTAAAAAAACCAGCACGTCCAATAGGCAGACGTGTATCCTTCTTGTATAATATACTGTAAGATTGTGTGACTGAATATTATGATAAAGTTAGAAGATACAGTTCTAAACTGTTTACAAGTGATATTCAGGTGTTTAATTAAAAAACTACTAGTTCCACAACAAAGTTGAATAAAAAAACATATCATCATAACTTCTTAATATTTAGAGCTGAAACTACAAGTTGGAATGAATTATTGGAAAAAGAAGTTTGTGTCATAAAGTTAGAAAACGTGTATTAAACTAGGAACTTATTTTCTCCTACATGTAAGATTTGATGAAGCTTTGTTATGTCTGTCAGTTTGTACTGTATATAAGGTCACCATAAAAAATGCAATTAAATCATAATTAATATATATTGCATAGTACTATAAATTAGCATACATATCAAATACAGACAATATGGTTTGTCCTCATATTTTCAGGTAAAATATTTCTGTAACACATTTCCACAACCTGCAAATTAGCAATACATATCAGTGCTACTTATAGGATAGGTAAATACTTTATTTTTTCCTATCCATTTTACCTCCTTGTTCAGTAAAAAAAATTTCACTCTAGTTTATTCTTTGGAGCAAACTTTAATCAAGATAGTAACAGATCTCTGCATATTATAACCTAACAGTACTATTTGTTATATTATGATTAAATGTGAGAACAAACGTTTCTCTCTCTCTCTCTCTCTCTCTATATATATATATATATATATATATATATATACACACACACACACAGTCGACACTACGTACTAACAAACAAACCAAAAAAATAAAACTAAAAAACTAATAAATAAGAAAGTAACTACTTACTTTAAC